AAACCCTAACCCTAAACCCTAAAGGTAATGCTGACGGCAATACCCGGCCTGGCTCAAGCAATCCCCCCGTTCTTGAAAACCGTTGTGCCGTAGGTCGCGGTGCGACGTCGTAGAAGGCACTGGTGGTACTGGTGGTATTTGTGGTACAACTGGTGTGCGGTAGTCAATTCGTGTAGGAGCTGGTACAAGAGGGACCCTGGAGCCTACACTTTCCACTCTTGTCAGCAAAGAGGCTGTGCATGCTGCGCGTGCTGAGACCTTCCGTCCTTCGCTCCATCTTCAACATCGACCTGGGAGCAAATGTGACCACACGGAGACCCACCGTAAACCCAACCAACAAAAACCAACAACCCTCGGGCTTTAATTGAAGCTAGGGCCTGGCCTTCGAGCGATCTGCGAGCATGGCTTTGCCCTGGCCATAGTGCTCGTCAGGAACATCCACAGTCGTGATGCCCTCCTCTTCCAGATCACCTGTGTGGCTGCGGCTGAACTGCTTGGGTCCTCATTTCGGGAGCCTCGAGGCTGCAATCCGAAGACTACGGAGGCAGTCCCAGGCGCTGATGTTGGAGCCGCGCCACAGCGAAATGGAGAGGCTCAGAAACAGGCCGGAGTCCTTCCCCACCTCGGAAAAGCTCGTCTAAGGCCGCGGGCGGGGGGGGGGGAGCCGCGGAGAAGTGAAACAAAACAAGCTGCATTGCTGCTACAACCAGAAGATGCCAGAATTCAGGAGCTCTACCCGGCGCGTCTGGCCTCCAGCTCGGTCTGATGGCCATTCCAAAACACGCGGCTGCTCAATGTCAGCATCTTGGCTCCTTCGTCAGTACCCTCGTCCTGGCCGCAACAAAGGCGAGGCAGGGCCTTTGCCTCTTTTGCTTGGAGCTTGAAGCTTCCCTTCCAGGGAACCCAATACCCCTTACTTAANNTAATTCAGGAATATACTTTAAATCATAGGAACAAGGCCCCTAAAAACTTAAGGTAATATTGCTTGATTAAGGGGTGCTTCCAGTTAATTGAGAAACCAGAACATTGACATGACATTTTCGTGCCATAGCCCTCATACGGCGCACACTGCAGCAGTGGGTGGTCTCCGTGTCCTGAATGCGCAGTTGCAAAGCCTCCTCAGCAACAACGTCTTCCACGAAGAAGGGCTCCCCGAGCTCCACGGGACCGCAGACACCGACTTTCCAGGGCTTCGGCACGGCATCGCGAAGCACCGTGCAGTAGATGGATGCTGCGTGAAGGTCGATTACCTTCCTTTTCTGAGAAAGGCCACGCAGCACAACTTGGAAAGCACGGCACGGGTGGATGCTGAGTGACATGGGTATAATCGCCTGCCGAACGACGTCGTGCGTGGTGGACTCGACTGGGTCGAAGCCTGGCATCACTTCATCCGACCGGAGCAAGCTGTAGAAGTCCAAGAGCTGACGAACGGTGATGCCCCGCCCGGCCAACTCATCCACCTTCTCATCCCACGGGGTCTTCTGCTTCAGTTCCTTGCCGGCCTCAGCTTCGGGCTCATCCAGCAGATCCATATCCAGGCCAAAGCTCTTCGGCGCCGTTCTCGGTGAGGCCATGCAAGCAGAGCAGAGCAACTCGGGTCCTAGGCTGATGATGCATGCGAGGAGTGGCACCACGAACAACTTGCGCAGGACGACGAAGGCAAAGGACGTCATCCACTTCCACTCATGTTCTTCCCCCAAGTTCGCCAGGAAAGCAACGATGATAAGCAGATGGAGGATGGAAAGGCAGAAGCCCACTGCCCAAAACGCAGCGTCCCAGAAGAGCCGCATGCGCAACTGCCTCCTGTGGTTTGCGATCGCCTGGACGAAGCTTCGGTGGGCCAGCGATCGCACCAAGCCGCAAGGCAACGAATTCAGGAGGACGGCAACCGAGGAAGCCAACATGTACCTTGCTGAGCAACAGAAGACACGAAACCCAACGGCGGACTACCTGCCTGCCTTTCTTCCCTTTGCGAAGGGAATGCCAGGTGGAGTTCGAGACCAAGTCCTAGCCGCAACCTCCTGCATAGACCCCAGGTAATAAAGCTTCGATCCTTTCACTCGGCGCCCCTGGCACTTGAGAACCCTCTGAAGCGTCTGCTTGGCTGCAGTCGTGGCGCCACAGCACCGAGCCCTGTGCCACAGGACATTCCGAGGGTCGTCTGCTGGCAACAGCCGAACCGTCCACAGAGAAGAATCTGCCAAGTGCGTGATTGGAGTCGTGAACAAACAGGGACCCCCATGACTCGTAACTCATAATGCCGGGGATACACCCAATGCCCACAAAGCATCCTGTCGTGTCCAAGAGGCATGGCCGCGAAGGCCAATGCACCCAGAAAGCTGTCCATGGTCACCTTGGCCCTCTTGGCTGCAGAGACGTGGATGTCCCATTGAAACAGCTCGTAGAAGGGATGCATACCCAAGCCTGGGAAGAGTGCTTAGCTCAGTGAACAAGCCTATATATGTCACTCCGGCATATGCTGGTGGAACCTCTAAAAGCTCCAACAAGCATCCTCAAGACGGGCCGACTAAGTACCTGTGACACGCCCATGAAGACAAGAGCCGAGCTTGCATGACTGCACCTTGTGCTCGGGCAGACACCTCTTTTAGCTGTCGAAGCAGGTGCTTGTGTGACAGGGTACGTACTTAACAAGACTGACTCCCGACTGCTGCCAAGGGGCAGGTGGACCAGCAGCGAGCCCAGCAAGAGGAGTGCACGGCTAAATACATTGAGGGCAGCGTCACCTGGACAGGGCCCTCAACACGAGCCTTCTCTCGCATGTCGCCTCGGTTTCACCCGCACCTCCATCTCAAGCACCAGCTTCTTCAGCAGTGGGGACCTTTGAACCGCCAGGCTCCCCTGGACCCAGCCTGTCTGACCCCAGATGTGCGACTGAATGGTGCTGCCATGCAGGCCATGCAGTCGCGCCGCGGCACGCAAGGTGTTCTGACACTGCAGCGTCTCCTGCGAGCGGCTCCAGCCCGCGCGACTCTTCTCCCCAGCTCCACCCGCTCCTCTCTGATCTCTCTCTCTCTCTCTTTCTCTCTGAGTCGCCCGCTCGTCCTGCAGCTGCTGCCTGAGGTTCGGCCGTAATGTCCGAATTCGTTGCCTCGTGACTGCACTGTCCACATCTTCGTCCGATTTCTCTGCGTTTCCTGCAGTCATCCAGCTCATCGCCCGAGACATCTGTCGGCTGGTGCTGCTCATGGCTCGTGACATCTCCGTCGTGACCGAGACCGGCGCCACCTCCGTCAGGAAGTATTCATCGCGCCAAAAGCCTGCCCGCCGCATCTTGGCATCTTGAGCCACGCCCACCAGCACAAGGAACAGCAGGGCGGCAGTAAGCAACCACAAGGAAACCGCAGGCAACAGTGTCCACCAGGTGGTGTTCCGGAAGACCTGCTCGAGCCCTTCTTGTGACAACACGTTCAGGTTGGTGCAATCGAGCAGGGTGTCCAGAAGGACACCGAAGATGGAGAGATGGGTTGTGGCACACCATACTCCAGAGGTGTTAACGGAGTCGCCGTACAAAGCGGAAATCTCTGCTGCAGAGGCCAGACGCACACCCTCTCGAGACCAGACCTCTCCATCCAGGTAAGCGCAGCGCCAGTCGGGCTCTGGATTCCGGCCAGAGAGCCGCAGGAAGATCGGGCTTGGGGCATCCTCGATGGAAAGTTCGGAGGACTGTCCACCGAGCACTTCGAAGACCGACACGTCCACTGCATCCACTGCGAGCTCCACCGATCTCCCTCCGAACTTCGCCTTGCTGCCCTCGCCAAGGGTGGTTTTGGTAGCTTCCCCTGTCAGCGGAACCACAGTCAAGATGCGTTCGGCATCCGGATTGCCCTGAACTGGTAGGGCTTCTTGCGGCAAGATGACGGCAGCTGGGCTCTCTTCCACCTCGACTTCGATGACTGAGCTTGAGATGTTCAGGGCCACGGCAGTGACCGTGCCCATCGCCGTAACTGTCGTGGCCTTTTGGCTTCCTGAGCTTAAAAGCTCCTCGACGACGCTCGCTGTCTCGGCCTGTAGCGACTCTGTGACTGCCGCAAGGTCTGCAACTGTCAATGTCCTCGTGGTAGTAGCAGTAGCAGTCATGGAAGTGGAAGATGTAGCGGATGTCGTTGAAGAGCGTGACGATGAACTAGTCTCAGTAATTGATGTCGTCGTGCTTGCACTGGCGTCCAGAGTCACTGTAATCGTTTTCGCTGTTGAAGTGACAGTGACCGTTTGGGTCGTGGTCTTCGAGACTGTGGCACTCGCAGTTGTACTTGTGGAAACTGTAAACATGGATGTCGCTGAAGATGTGGTTGTGGTCATTTTTGTCGTCGCAGTCGTACTTGTGCTTGTGGCGGTTGTCGTGGTTGCGGTGGTTGTGTTGGTTGTGGTGGTTGTGGCGGTTGTGGCGGTTGTCGTGGTTGTGTTGGTTGTGTTGGTTGTGGCGGTTGTGGTGGTTGTGGCGGTTGTGGTAGTTGTCGTGGTTGTGGCGGTTGTGTTGGTTGTGTTGGTTGTGGTGGCTATGGCGGTTGTGGCGGTTGTCGTGGTTGTGTTGGTTGTGTTAGTTGTGTTGGTTGTGGTGGTTGTGGTGGTTGTGGCGGTGGCGGTGGCGGTGGCGGTGGTGGTGGTGGTGGTGGTGGTGGTGGGGGTGGGGGTGGTGGTGGGGGCGGGGGCGGGGGTGGGGGTGGCGGTGGTTGCGCTGTTGGGTGCTGTTGTTGGTACTGG